GCCTGGAATGCTCTTTTCTGGAGACCTGAATGGCTCACCCGCTTACCTCCTTCAAGTCTTTGCTCAGACGTGTTACCTTCTCAGTGTGGTCTACTCTCACCGTCATATTAAAAGTTGGTATTCCCCCCAGTCTCCTTAGCCTGCTTTGTTATATTTTTGCAAAGCAATTATCACCTTCTAATCTTTACTTATTTATTGTATTTATTGTTTAGTATAATAGAATTTAAGCTTCACGGGGGCAAGGATTTTTGTGTGCTTTGTTTGCTGAGCCTAGAACAGTGCTTGGAGTAGTACCTGGCTAGTAGGAGGAGCTCAATTAGTATTTACCAATATGATTCAATGAATGAATGAATGAATGAAGATCTAATGAAGTGGATACAGATTTGCCTGGTGGAATGATTCCTCATTGATAGGGATATCTTTAGGTCACTATAAAAATAAATTTGATAGGGAGTTTAGTTGAATGGAAAAAGCTTACCCATTAGAGTCATACCTGACTCTAGCTCCTGGCACTTACAGATATAGTTTTTGTATTTTTGACATAAGAATAGTATCTATTCTCAGGGTTGTTGTGAGGATTAATTAACATATGTAACATACCAAATAAAGTAACCGATACATTGTAGGACCTCACAAAATGATAGCTATCATCAGCAGTCTCCTCTGCCATGGAAAGATTGTGAGGAGCTCTCACAAGGTGAGTGTGTTCTATCAAACACTTAAGGAAAAAAAAATTTACATAAAATCAGAAAATAGAGGCAGAGGAAACAATTCCTAATCATTTTATGAGGCCTGGATTAGTTCTGATATCCAAAACTGGTAGACATTACAAAAACAATAACAAAAGTAAATTGCAGACTAGTATTCTTAATGTACATAAACACAAAAATCCTAGTTTAAGATGATAGCAAATGAAATCCAGCAATGTAATAAAAGGATACTATAATGAGTAAGTAAGGTTTATCCCAGGGTCGGCTTAACATTTGGTATTCAATCACTGTAATGTTCTCTATTAACAGAATAAAGCAGAAAACCTACATAATGAGGCCGGGCGCGGTGACTCACGCCTGTAATCTTAGCGCTTTGGGAGGCCGAGGTGGGCGGATCACGAGGTCAGGAGATAGAGACCGTCCTTGCTAACACGGTGAAACCTGGTATCTACTAAAAAAAAAAAAAAAAAAAAAAAAAAAAGGTTAGCCGGGCACGGTGGCGGGAACCTGTAGTCCCAGCTACTCGGGAGGCTGAGGCAGGAGAATGGCGTGAACCCGGGAGGCGGAGCTTGCAGTGAGCCGCGATCACGCCACTGCACTCCAGCCTGGGCGACAGAGCGAGACTCCGTCTCAACAAAAAAAAAAAAAAAAAAAAAGAAGGAAAGAAAAACTACATATATGGTCATTTCCATAAATACTGACAAGGCATTTGAAAAAAATTAACACTCTTCATGATAAAAACACCCAGAAAGTTAGGAATAAAAATAATCTTCCTCAATTTGATAAGGGGCATCTATGAAAAACCTAGAGCTAACACCATAGGTAAAGGTGAACTACTGAGTCCTTTGCCCTTAAGCACAATATTTACTTCAGTCATTTCTATTCAACTTATACTGAAGGCTTTAGCCAATGCAATAAAGTTAGAAATAAAAATTTAAAAACCTAAAGATCACAATTTAATAAGTAAAATAAACTCTATTTTTAGTTGATATGATTGTTTATGTAAAAAAATCCTAAGAATTTTTCAAGATTAGAATTTAGTAGCATCTTAGGATACAAGGTCAATATTGAAAAACCAATTGTGTTTCTGTATATTGGCTTCAATAATTGTAAAATAAAGCATGAAAATTATATTTTAAATAGAGCTCAATAATTTAGAAATAAATTAACAAAAAATACTGAAGATACATACACTTAAAACTAAAAAATACTGCTGAGAGAAATAAAGTATCTAAATAAATTGAGAGATACACCATATTTATGGATTGAAAAACTCAGTATTGTTAAGTTTCCCAGATTAACCTATAAATCCAAGGCCATTATACTTATAATCTTACCATGCTTTTTTTGTAGAAATTGACAAGCTGATTCTAAACTTTCTAAGGAAATGCAAAAGCTACACCCAAACTTTTGAGAAAGAACAAAGTAGGAAGACTCAAACTACCTGACTTCAAGACTTACTATAAAACTTTAGTAATCAAAAGAGTATAGTATTTGTGTGAGTGGCGACAAATAGATTAGTAGTACTAAATAAAGATTTCAAAGTTAAGATCGACCCTTTATGACATTTGATTTCCTACGAAGGCTCCAAAGCAATTCAGTAATGAAAAGAAAATGTTTTTTTGAAAGCAGTAGTGGAACGATGAGATATTTATAAGAAAAAAGGAACTTCTATTTCTGCTTCAGCAACATATGAAAAATAAATTCAACATAGTTTTAGAACGGAATGTAAAAGCTAATACAATAAGACTTCTAGAAAAAAGCATAGTGGAGTGTCTTTATAACTTAGTGGTTAAAAAAAAGACTTTTTAAGATAGGACATGAAAATTAATAACCAAACAAAAATTTGTAATTAGACCTTTCATAATTTAAAGCTAGTGCTCATCAAAATGCGTCATTAAGAAAATGAGTGGGCAAGGCTCAGATTGGGGGAGAACATTAACAAAATGCATATTTGACCAAGAACTTGTGTCGACAATATATGCTTATGAAAACTCCTCCAACTCAATAACAAAAAGACAATCCAAGTTTTAAAAAATGGCCCAAATATTTGAATAGACATTTCACAAAGGAACATATGCAAATGACCAATAAACCTAAGAGAAAATGCTGAACAATATTCATCATCAGGCACATGCAAATAAAATCACAATAAGATAGCATTGCCTAACCACCAACATAGCTAAAATTAAAGCCAGAACCCTAAGATTGGCAAAGATGTTGCAGTAACTGAAATGCTCATACAATGTTAGGGTGTTAAAATGATACAGTTCCTTGGAAAAAAATCTCTGGAAGTGTGTAAAATAAACTGTAACTACAGTATGACCTAGAAGTTCCACTTCTAGGTATTTACACAACAGACTGAAAACATATGTTCATATGTTCAGAGAATCACTTATCTCCAATAGCAGGCTTATTCATACTAGCCAAGAACTGGACAAAACTCAGGCTTCATGGACAAGAGAATGGATATACACAAATTACACATTTATATAATGGAATCCTATTCAACATTAAAAAGAACGATTTTGTGATACATACAACAAGACAAATGAATCTGAAGAAAACATTGAGCATACATGCTGTGTAGAGAGGAAGATTACATCTGGAGGCAGGGCTAGGAACTGATTAGGTAGAGGAAGGAAACAGCATTCTAGATCTGGAGCTATATTGATGGTCTGTATATCTTTTTGTTTATATTATTATTACTTTTTAAAGTTTCCCTTTTAAACAAATTTTACTTTAAGTTCTGGGATTACATGTGCAGAGATGTTCTCTATATCTTGACGGGGGTTTGGATTACATAGATGTATATGTCCATCAAAATTCATTGAATCATAACACTAATGATTTGTGCATTTCACTCTAATTGAATTTTATTTCAAGAAACTAGTTAAACAAGTATCGACTTCTAGTTAGTGATATACTTTCCTAAATGCTTAGGGGTAAAGTTTACTGAGGTCTTCAACTTTAAAAGGTATCATAAAAATAAAGGTGAATCAGTGGATGTACAGACAGATGGATATTAGATAATATGTAAAGAAGCCAATATAGCAAAATGTTAATTTTACAATCTACTTGGAAGGCATTTGAGTGTTTATGATACAATTATTTCAATTTTTCTCTATGTTTGAACAATTTTCATAACAAAGTGTTAGGAACTAAAAGACTTTGCTACTACTGCATTCCAAAGAATTTTTAAAATTGTTGACGACATAATTGCTAGTCTCTGTCCCACCAGAGACTGGTGTGAGACTGGGTGTGTTTTTTATATTTTATCACATGGGACAAAAGGCAAGTCAATAACATCAGTTTGATTCAATTTCAATTTTCAAGGCCTATCCCATAATATTTCAGCTCAGATTTGCAGGTTGAATATCTAGAACAAAAGAATGCTGGCCACAGATTTCTTTTTCTTTCTTTCTTTCTTTTTTTTGTTTGAGACAGAGTCTCCCTCTGTAGCCCAGGCTGGAGTGCAATGGCGTGATCTCGGCTCACAGTAACCTCTGCTTCCCGGGTTCAAGTGATTCTCCTGCCTCAGCCTCCCGAATAGCTGGGATTACAGGCACACACCACCATATCCAGCTAATTTTTGCATTTTTAGTAGAGACAGGGTTTCACCATTTTGGCCAGGCTGATCTTGAACTCCTGAACTCAAGTGATCTGCCTGCCTTGGCCTCCCAAAGTACTGGGATTACAGGCGTGAGCCACCGTGCCCGGCTGTGGCTGTGGATGATAGAAAAAGATTTTTCTATCATCAGATTTATGTTATTAAAAGGCTTTAGAAATAGGAGGAAATACTGTCATTTTTCTGCTTTTAACCTTAAACTTAAAATAAATCATTATTTAACTATATCCCTTAAAAATATTTCCCTTGAAATTATTTCTTGCTTTCACCAAAATATGGTACCATTATTTTCAGCAGTAGAAAAGTACAAGAACCAAGGGAAATCGTATGATTTAATTTAATGTGGTTAATTCTACCTTGGAATTAAATAAAAATACATATCTTCTGGCTTTGGGAAAAAACAAAACTAGGACAAATAAACCAAACATAGCAAAAGAGAAGAAAAGTATTCTGAGGGGGAGTTGTTCTACAAAACGGAAAATTTTCCTTCCCTCTTTAGCCATTTTTTTTAAACAGTAAAAAAAAAAAAAAAAAATCTCCAGGAAAAAACAATAGGTAAAATTTCTTAACTGTGGCAATTAAATATTACATTTCTAGTCAATATGTATTAGTGGAAAAAAGAGTTTTGAGGTAAATAAAATAGGGGATTTATAAAAACTTACCAGAAGCATTCCTGTTCCTGAGAGTGGCTAGGAAGGAACCCGTGAGTCCGATTCAGACAGAGTCTTCAGTGTCTTGGGATTCCGGACTGAATGGCCTGTGTCTGTTAACAAACATTTTCACTGAACGCTACCAGGCCGTGAAAATGTAGGCGCTTCCTGATGCCACTTCACTAACCAAGGTTTACTAATCTCTTAGCTGGAGTGTTAATCAGGACTTGACCAAGGGGAATCTATACCTCTAAAAAAAGGAAATCTTCCCTTGTGAAGGATCAAGAAGGAAACAGGAAACTAATGAAACGTAGTTATTTACTTTTGCTGTCACCCAACCGGCTGTAAATACCACTACTATACACAGTTCTGAGCAAACAATGATTGTGCTTTGGCTGACAAACAAGAAATTCAACAGGTGGTTTATAGGAGTGACGTGTCTGAACACAGGTCAATTTCTATAGTATTCCTTAATGTCTTTAATGATAACAGGCAAGTCGAACACATGAGAGTTTGGTAAACAATTAACTTTTCAACCGCAGTTTATCTTGGGACTTCACAGCTACTTGTCAGCTTTTGTCTTCGTTATTTATTTATTTAGTTTTTGAGATGGGGTCTCGCTCTCTCTCCCGGGCTGGAGTGCAGTGGCATGATCTCGGCTCACTGCAAGCTCAGCCTCCTGGGTTCATGCCATTCTCCTGCCTCAGCCTCCTGAGTAGCTGGAACTACAGGCACCCACCACCACGCCCGGCTAATTTTTTGTATTTTTAGTAGAGATGGGGTTTCACCGTGTTAGCCAGGATGGTCTGGATCTCCTGATCTCCTGATCTGCCCGCCTCGGCCTCCTAAAGTTCTGGGATTACAGGCGTGAGCCACCGTGCCCAGCCTTGTCTTGGTTTTTATTGTTGTATATTAAATGGCCCTTTTGCTCTTTACAATAAGGAGATCTTATTCCTTTGCTTTTTTTTTTTTTCCATTATTTTTATTTTTAGTTTCTACTTTTAGTTCAGCTGCGAAAAATAAAAAGGGAAGAAGTGAACTATCAGTAACAGTAAGGATGAGGGCTGAGAATGAATTCCACCTGGACCATTTGACCACGTGTTGCAGCCTGGATGTCCAACATTTGTTGTTGTTGTTGTTTTTTTCTGAGACAGAGTTTCACTCTGTTGCCCAGGCTGGAGTGTAGTGGTGTGATCTCAGCTCACTGCAACCTCCACCTCCCAGGTTCTAAGTTATTCTCCTGCCTCAGTCTCCTGAGTGGTTGGTATTACAGGCACATGCCACCACACCCGACTCATTTTATACTGTTAGTAGAGATGGGATTTCACCATGTTGGCCACACTGGTCTTGAACTCCTGACCTCAGGTGATCCACCTGCCTTGTCTTTCCAAAGTACTGGGATTATAAGCGTGAGCCACTGTGCCTGACCAACTTTTGTCATTTTTTAAACTCCGAGAAACAGTTGTCTCCTCCCCTTCAGTCTCATGTGAAAAAAAAAAAAAAATTAAGTTGACATTTTAAAAATTCACATACATACTGAATGTATAATTATCTAGATTTTTAAAAGTTCTCTAGATTATAAAATCTGGAATGTATAAAACTCGTTTCTCGCCATATATTAGAAATAGCACACTGGTGTCTAAAAAAGCAAGAGAGGCTGAGATAGGGAAACTCATAGAGCATGTCAGTCATAGCAATATAGGGTTCTATGGGATTCTAATATCAACCTCCTCACAGTAATTCATGCTGAAAATCGTCAGCAAATTTGGAATAGAAGGAATCTTCCTCCATCTGATAAGGAATAAAAACCTAGAACTAACACCTTACTTAAAGGTGAAATATTGAATGCTGTCTTCCTAATGCAATAGTACCCACAAAGCTTACTGGAGAGTGTAACCAGTGCAATTAGGTGTGGCCTTCCAGCATTTCCACATAGCAGTTTATTCCTTTTGCTTGAGCTTTCTGGTTTGGGGAAAATACACTACTTCTTGAAGTAGTCCTTTCCATCTTTTTAGAGTTATGACTATGAGAAAATATCAACTTACATTAAAGCAAATTTTGTTTCTCTGAAATTTCTACCAACAGAGTTTATTTTCACCCTCCAAGGTACACAGGTGTTTCTACTTCCTCAAGAACAACTGGCATATCTGAGGGCACACTGTCCGTGTGAAATGTAGATCTGCTAGTTCGTTTACTTGCTTTTGCTTATGTCAGAAACTCACATCTCCTAGACGCCCTTGTTCTTTTCATTTAGATTGTTTACAGTTTGCTGAGTGTCCATGTGGAAAGTGTGGTGTCCAGAAGCTTGTGCGGCGTCCACGAGGCTTCTGCTCAGCACACAACAGAACAGGAAATTGCCTCTTCATTCTAGAAAACGTTCTTTCCTTAAACAGGACATATAACATATAATTGTAACATTCTATATCATGTAATTATAAAATATAATGATAATGATAATTTCTTTATACAATGAATTAGTGTTTCCACTTTTTTTTTCTTTTTTTTTTTTACACCTGTTGCGGGAAGTCAGGGACCCCAAATGGAGGGACCGGCTGGAGCCGTGGCAGAGGAACATAAATTGTGAAGATTTCATTTTAATATGGACATTTATCAGTTCCCAAATAATACTTTTATAATTTCTGATGCCTGTAATCTCTTAATCCTATTATCTTTGTAAGCTGAGGATGTATGTCACCTCAGGGCCACTGTGATAATTGTGTTAATTGTACAAATTGATTGTAAAACGTGTGTTTGAAAAATATGAAATCAGTGCACCTTGAAAAAGAACAGAATCACAGTGATTTTTAGGGAACAAGGGAAGACAACCATAAGGTATGACTGCCTGCAGGGTCGGGTAAAAAAAGCCATATTTTTCTTTTTGCAAAGAGCCTATAAATGGATGTGCAAGTAGGAGAGATATCACTAAATTCTTTTCCTAGCAAGGAATGTTAATATTAATACCCTGGGAAAGGAATACATTTCTGGGGGAAGACTATAAATTGTTGTTCTGGGAATGTCTGTCTTACGCAGTTGAGATAAGGACTGAGACCTGCCCTGGTCTCCTGTAGTACCCTCAGGCTTACTAGGGTTGGGTAACTCGACCCTGGCAAATTTGTGGTCAGACTGGGTCTCTGCTTTCAAACCCTATTTTCTGCTATCAAGATGTTTATCAAGACAATATGTGCACCGCTGAACATAGACCCTTATCAGTAGTTCTGCTTTTGCCCTTTGCCTTGTGATCTTTGTTGGACCCTTATCAGTAGTTCTGCTTTTGCCCATTGTCCTGTTCCCTCAAAAGCATGTGATCTTTGTTAGACCCTTATTAGTAGTTCTGCTTTTTGTCCTTTGAAGCATGTGATCTTTGTACCTACTCCCTGTTCTTACACCCCCTCCCCTTTTGAAACCCTTAATAAAAACTTGCTGGTCTGACACTCAGGCGGGCATCACAGTCCGACAGATATGTGATGTCACCCCTGGAGGTCCAGCTGTAAAATCCCTCTCTTTGTACTGTCTCTCTTTATTTTTCAGTCAGCCAACACTTATGGAAAATAGAAAGAACCTATGTTGAAATATTGGGGGCAGGTTCCCCTGATATACACTTGTTGCAGGTAATCCAGATTTTCTCTATTCTGTATTAGTAAAGATGCTTTATTTGAAAACAAATGTAGTTCCTTACATTCCTGTGTCCTAAATTCTATTTTAATCGTTTCTGTACAACATCAAGTCCATCTAACTCTGTTATATGATGCATATCTCTCTCTCAAAGCTTTATGTTTTTCACAAATTTCATAGGCCTATTGACTTGATAACACTGTGAAGTTACTGGTACAACTGTTAAAAAGATGAATGCAAGACAGCACTAGACATCTACAATTTGATTTAAATGTATTAATTGGCATTCTTTGGTTATGATACTCAACCATTGTCTTGTGGACATTACTATCTATTCAATATTTCTATGTAATCACACATCATTATAAAGACACTATCAAGGCATCATTGACAGCCAGTTATGCTATTGTGTTGATCACTGTAAATTAACTCTAGAAAAACAAGATTGGGCCAATATCAGTGGTTCTTGATAATGCATTGTGGTCTTAGTGATCACAGCTTTCTCTTCTAGAAGTTTGTACATGTTTCTTTTAATAGTGATCAGTCTCTGAGGATGAGATATCTCTCATCTTCAGTTAGGGAACCTGGAATCTTTGGTGCTGAGGAGGTAAGGTGGGTGGTGATCTTTTGTTTTCTCTGAGAGTAGAATCCTTTCTGTAGTTGGTATTTCTCTGAATGTTTCTTTTAAGACAGTTTCTGGACCTGGACCCTAAACAAATAATTTGGTTCTGTGTCCCTCTGTGTTTTATTTCAAGAAAAACTTACTTTAACATGTGGTACAAATAAGACCTATAAAGAATAGCAAAGAGTTTATAACATAAGTATCTGAAAGCAGCACAGAGCAAATTTTCCTTGGATATGAACTTTGTTTTAATTTAAATTTTATACCAACAAAGTTCAAATTTTAAAGATTCAAAAAGATATACAGAAAAATTCTGTTGTTATTTCTATTTTTCAGCCATCCAGTTATCCTTACTAAAGGTAACTAATGTCTCTAGTTTGTATGTGTATGTGTCTTTCCAGAAACATTTTATGCATGTATAATCTAATATGTAAAAATATTCTGCTTTTTTTTAGCCGAGTATTTTTTAGCACAAATAGTAGATTTTTAAAAACATTTTTTGTATTTGATTTTTGCATTTGATACATCTTGGAGATCATTCTAAGACATAAACCCTATAAATAATTATGAGGGTTTGTTCTTTCAAATACCATATTAAAATGTTTTTCCCTGTGCTGTACTTACTTGTTTTTATTTTAATAGGAAAATATTATTAAATACCACTTCAAAGTTAAAAATATTCTAAAAGTTAAGTTAACATAGACCACTAGATGGTGCCGTCATCCCAAAGAAATAAAATATGTGCATTGTTTTAAAAACAATTTGGCCATCTAAGGAAAAAAATCTGACTACTGTAGAACTGTATAAAACAAAAACTAATAGCCGGGCTTCTAAGTTCTGTGTCCCCAAAATAGTCACTAATAATTGAGATTTTTCTCTTACTATACTGTTTGTGTGTGTGTGTGTTTATGCTCTTTTATAAAAAGTATCTAATACCGTACATTTTGGAACTTTTTTTCTAGAAGGCTAATATATGATGGAGTTCTTTCCATGTCAGTACATATACATTGATTTCATTCTTCAATGAAATTTGGTGAATAAATTATTTTAAATGATCTGAATGTTATAAAATATGCTATAATTTTTTTCATCTCTAACAGTAGGTATTTAGGTTGTATATAGGTTTTTGCTTGTGCAAACAATGATGCAGAAACTATCCTTGTATATTTATTATGGTGTACTGGCTATAGACATCTCTGTTGGACATGATTTTCTTTCAGAACTTTAAAGGCATGATCTTCTATTGATTAAAGCTGCAGCATTGCTGTTGAGTAGTTAAATATGCCATTTGGATTTCTGATTCCATTCAAGTCCTTTGAATTTGATATGTTCACTTTCTATTTA